GCAAGACTTCAGACCCGGTTTTGAAATGACGACAAGACGATGCTCCGTTGATATACAAAATGTGAAAGGAACTCCTCCAACCTGTCACAGAACCACATGAGCAGGATGAGACATTTAAAAAAATCAATTATCCTTCAGTTAAAAAAGAAAAAAAAAACGTCCACGACTTTAACAGTAAACACAGACTTATTTAAGGCATAAAAAGGCGTTTTTTTTGTCCTGTAGTATAGTTTCTGATTTAGTGAGGTGGGGCTTTGTCTGTCTTAGACATCCACCCAGTTTCAGTTCAGCTGTGCACAGCCCTGTCCCAGTGACCCAGCTGTGAGGCCCAATGCCTTGATGAACAGTACAGCCTCAGCAGTGCACAGGTATTGATTTAAGGCCTTGAAGCTGAGGCTTAGTGGACAGCAGGTCAAAAGGTCATCAGGCCTTTAAAACCAGGTGTGGCAGACCAGAAAGCAGCTTTAGAAAAGCTTTGGTAAACCCGCACAGGATTATAGAGAATTGTGCACAAAAGAAGCTATGATGGTGAATTATTGTGAGCTGTAGGAGGAAAACAGGAAAACCCAGGAGGATAATACAAAAACCCAACAGAGATTTACTGCAGCAACACTGTCCCTTTCACAGCATGCCTCAGGCCTGTGTCTTTGGTTAAAAAAAGACACTACCGCTGACCCCTACAGCACTGGGCATCTAGCGCAGAGCTCATGTCTGCACAATACTGTCGCCTCGGACTGGCAGCATCACGCCCTAAAACAACGAAATCTCAAGCAAGACCCATTGCAAACCGGACCTGCTACTGGTAAGCCACTGAAACACAAACAGCATCCAAAATGAAATCTCGGTGTGACTGACATCGGATCAATAGGAACAGCTGTGTTACTCCGTGCCATCAAGCTCGTAGTGTAATTAAAGAGCAGGGGTGGGGAGAGAAGACAGGACTCGGCTGTTTCTATGTACTGTGTCTGTTCCCCTACCAACCCCCCCCCACCCCACCTCCTTCATTAAGTGCTTCTGTGCAACAAGATTTTCTTTGTCTTTCTTTCACAACAGGGAGAGCAAACAGGACGTAGAATGAAAAAAAAAACAACCTTTTCCAGCGATGCCAGACCTTCATTAAGTTTAACACTGGGGTAAACACAGACACATTAAGAGCATTTGTCTTGGGGACCGACTGCACTGATAGCAAAACGCGGAGAGCAAACTGGACTTTGAGATGTGTTTCGTACATGGTCACCGAGAAACTGCCAGCTCCCGGCTACCCTGAAGCCCTCTGGCCCACAGACTGCAGCTTGTGCAATTTTGGGGTCCCCATGTGGTGTTAGTTTCACACCAGCCATGGAGAAGTCCCAGGCCAGAGAGTGGAGGTGGGGGATCTGTCCCGCTCACAGCCCACAGAGACCTCGGAGAACCTGGGGATGTTCAAGGTGACTGGAGAGCAGGGTCCACACTGAGGACCCCTGGGCTGGAGCCCCCAGTTCTTCTTCACCTCGTACTGAGAGAGGTGCTCAGGGGGCCACCACTGCTCTGGTGCTGCCTGGTTCACAAGCCCAAGCGCCCTCACCCACTGCCCCCTGTGCGTGGGCTCATCGATACCCCCCGACCCTCCCAGCCCAGGTTAGACCACCCCGTCGTTTGGCACTAGGACAAGCGGCACCACGGAGCAGTGGCACGGACCTCTCCCTTCCAAGCCCGCCCTGTCCCACCTCAGCCCACAAACCGGGGTTTCGTCCTGTCCTTCCTGCCTGCGGCCAGCAGGACGTCCCGCGCGCTGCCTGCACGCCCCAGCCCAGCTCGGAAGGAACGGTGCCTGGTTCCGGCTGGCGTGTGGCACCTGTAAAGCATGTGGCGGTCAAAGGCACTGCGGTATCTTCCGTGGCACGAGGGAGTCTGTCGTGCACGCACCTGGCACAACTCTGTGTATGGCTCTGCTTGCCTTGGTGCTACAGTTTGGACAAAGGGTCTGAGCTCCTACAGTCGCACAGAGATCCGCATGGACTCGCTGCTTCATGCTAAAGGTGAAACAGGTGCCAGGCAGGAGATTGTAATACCCACAGTTCAACGATTCATTCTCCTCCTGACCCTGCAATGGGCGTGCAGATGTCCCACGTCCGCTGGCAGCTCTGATCAACTGTCCCGAACAGCGAAGAAGCGAGCCGTCTCCGCGAGGGACACCAGCCAGCAGCGACAAGCCTGCTGAAAGGCCGGCGCGGGAAACGGAGGAGGAGAAGCAAGAAAAGCAGGAGTTCAGGTGCTGTCCCTGCAGGAAAAAAACAGGTTTCTCCCTGCGCCCCCAGCCCTGCCAGCAGGACGCCGCTGAGGAACAGGGCTGGGAGTTGAGGCCACGGCCTGTGTGAGGCGTTCGTGCAGGTTTCACCTTCCTGCCTGTTGTCACACAGGCTCCCTGCCTCTCTCCTCCACAGCCTCGAGGATTTCTAGAACGCGCAATGTCGTTTACCCACAGTCGCTCGCTCACAGGCTGGGCTGCAGGATTTGGCAGAATTTCAAATCCCCAAAAACACGTTCCAGTAGCTGGAATTCGACAATGCAGGTTTCTTAAAAGAGAAGCATTCCATCCAAATTAAAACAGGAAAAAACAACAACAACAACAACAACTCAAGCCCTGCGTCAAAGGGGTGGTCACACAGAAGAAAACAGAAAGACAAAGGGCACGATCTGTACAGCGATGGCACGGGTTTCTGCTTGTCGCCCGGGGGAGGTGGGGCGGTCAAGGGGTCAAAGTTCGGACGCGGGGCAGGACAGCAGCCCAGGACCGTCTTGTGTCTGGAGTCACGGGACAGCTGTCCCCGCTGCGGGGGGGGGAGGGGATGAGGGAAGGTGGGGGGGCAGTCAAAGGAGCTTGAGGTAGCGGGAGCAGGCGTGTCCGAGATCGAGAAGCAACCAGCAGGACTGGATCTGGGCCCGGGCTCCTCTCTGTTTCTTTTATGGCTTTGCGACCAGTCCGACCCGGAAGTCGTCCCAGACCTTGCTCGGGATCCGTGGGGTCCGGAGTTGGAAGAAATGTGAAAGCAGCTTCACCGATCCCTCCCCTCCCCAGCGCTGCAGAGCCAGCCCAAGCCCCGTGGCTGAAAGCAGGCTGCAGACCCTGTGGGGTCTGAGAGGGAGGTGTGGGTGGGCCCGCCAGTGCAATAGAAGAGGGAGGTCCGCTGGGGCAGGAGGGGAGGGGCGGGCTGGGGGGCTACAGCACCTGGGACAGCACCTCGTGTTTCTCGGTGGCGGCGAGCAGCCCCCCAGGGTCCGGGCAGCCCCTGCCGTTGGCCTGCTGGCTCAGCTGGTTCTTGAGCCGCTCCAGCTCGTAGTTGTGCAGGTACTCCTGGATCAGGTAGCGCTCCCGTTTCACCCGTGCCTTCACGTCCGTGGGCACGTCCGGGATCAGCCAGGCCACGAAGAACTTCACCATGAAGACCACGTGCTGCCCGGGGAGAGGGGACAAGAGGCAAGGTCAGCCGGGAGCCAGGCCAGCACACTCTCCTGTACTGGACACCTGCACGTCTGGGGACATGACTGGGCACGACTGAATGAGGTCTGACATCTGTGTGTGAACTGTAAGGAGAGAGTGTG